TATAACAAATTAGGCTATTTGGCTTTGAGTTTAACATTCCATCACTTTCCAAACTTGATTTTTAAGATTATATATCTCAAATTCATAAGGTGAGAGATTAAAAATAGATTCTATAGATCATCATGCTATATTTGCACTCTCTAACTCTATTTCTTTTCATTCCAAGTATATAACTAGCTCAAATATGTGTCTAAACTACAAATAAATTCAATTCTTTCAATTCCAAGGATGCAAACGGATCCTAAGATATTTCGTGTGGGGTTACTGGACTTATTTGGATCCCGATCCCATCCAGTGCGCACAAAAGTTAATTCTCAAGACTACATAGTAAAACCATATATTGTTAGGGAATGTAACTACTAAAGGCACGTTTTAATCTTTTTATTTTGGAGGAATTTAAGCTATTTGGTTTGTGACCTGACATTTCAGTATTCGACAAATATATAAATTCAAAGTTTGACCACTCGTTTTTTAAAAAAATTATGCAAATATGATCAAATTTAAGTAATTCTCGAAGAACATATATTAAGAAAGTAAGTCACAACAAAAGATGTAATATTTTTGCATAATTTTTTAAATAACACGAGCGGTCAAACTTATGGTAAAAAAAAAAAGTTAAACGTGTTACCATTTAGAACGGGTCTAGCAGTACATTACTTACTCGCGAATGTCGCAGATCATTTCTGTGAGCCTCTGCTCGCAGATTTGCCGGAGCTCGTCATGGGGCTCGGCGGCAGCGGCGTCCTTCAGGAGTTCAGCGGCGTACCGCCCCTTAAGCTCCTCGTGGCGGAGGCCGACATGATAGTAGTAGTGGTACGGCCCGAAGCACATGAACTTGGGCGCGTACGCTTCCTTGTGGGCCTCGCGCACCCACTGGGGAACTCGCCGGAGCCGGTAGCGGCCCTTCGCCGTCATGGTGATGGTCTTGGCAGGCGGCCCGGTGTTGCCTATGTGCAGCCTCACCTCATGGCTGTTAGCGGCGCTCATGGCCGGCGGCGGCTGGTCCTCCTCCGCTATGGCTGCTGGTTCCATCGATCGGTGAGGATGCATGTATGCATGGCGTGGACGACCGTCGCGTCATGGAGCCGGCCGGCTCATTTTATAGAGACACTACCGATCGGTCGAGCTGAGTGGCTTACTGGCTGGGGTTGGCCGGCTTCCATGAATAATGGATATGGTGTGGTGTGGATCGCCGTCGTCTACCTCAAGGAAAGAACAGGAGGCGTACATAGGTGAGTTTGGGCCGAGCATAGCGTGTTGCCGGCGGCGATCCCTACGTCGAGAACAAATAAAGCGCGGAGCATTTCTGCTTGGCGTAATGCTGGAGCAATTAGTAGGGAATAAAGGAACAAGATGACAGCTTTAATTTACTTTCTTCTTCATTATGATCGATCGATCTGAGTGCCTTTCTATTTTTGTTTTCTGCTGCTCTGCCGGCCAGTCCAAGCAAACACGAGATTCTTAGCTTGTTGTTAGAACTAAACACCTTTAGGATCCTGTAGCCTGATGACAAACATGAATTTTTTATACCTAGACTATTCTGACTTAACAGAATGACCTCCACCAGCCTTTATTTTTTTTTTTTAAAAAAAAGCCCGTGTCTAGGCCGAGAAGCCGGCACGACGGCACTACACGGCCCAGGTGTGCCCTGCTACCTGCTAGACCCGGCCTGCAAAAATTTCTTTGCAAGCCCATGCAGACACCTGCCCTTACTTAGCAGGTTTAAAGGGGGGACAGCCTGCAAAGACTGTTGGTTGGGCTTTAATCTGCTAAACCTGCAAGACCCTATGTGACCTGGATGCCTGATCGAGAGATGTTTGCAAATACACCACCGACCCACCGTCCCACGCCCACACACACAACCCAGCCAAGCAAGGCAAAGACAAGGCCATTGGGCCCACCATCTGTCGGCACATATGGACCAGACTCGCACGCTCTAAGTTGGCCCATTTCCCAAAGAGTGCGAGCGGAAGAAGAGGTGACCGCGGAGAGAAGAGAGGAGGCAGCGGTGTGTTTGGATTCGAAGAGAGAAAAAAAGGCGAGCGATTGAAAGAAACCCTGAGCGATTGAAAGAAACCCTGTGTGTTTGGATTCTAAGTTGGCCCATTGATCAACAGAAGGAAGAAGCCTCATGCATGCCCTTAGAACAACTTAACTAGAGCAAATTCTGACTTGAATTTGTCTTGCAGCGTTCAAGCAATGGCTGCACTCCATTGAATTTAACTTATCAGCCATATATATAGTAGCTCTCGAGGCTGTGTTCCCAGTACATAAAGATAATAAAAACGAATAGACGAGAGGCAGCTACAACATACACAAAAGCTCTCAGTCCTAGCAGGAAATTCAAAGTTAATTAGTCGTTATTTGATCCTATGGAAGCACAAGCGAGTGCACCTAACTAAAGTTGTGAATAAAATGGGTGGCTGTAAGCTAGGTGAACCATGCCAAATCTATTGAATAGGAAATTTGAAAATGAGTGAGAATAGAGGAAGAACAGTCATGTCATCTTCATTTTAACTCATTCCTGCAAATCACAATCAACACAGGACATGAAAGTATAGGAGTAAAAAGGCAAAAAGTAGGGAAAATACTCTTTATTCCCTGATAAATATCGATAATAATAATTTTAGTAATACAGAGCTCTCTCTCACACACATAAGTGCGGACAAAGGCCTAAGGGCACTGGGCATTGTGCTAACTGAAACATGGCCAGCCAGTGTGATCGGCACCCCCAAAGCATAAACAGGCATCCATCAATCGGACACCGACACATCGTTGCAGAATCTGATTCCAATCCCTTCCACTAGCTGAGTGGCAGGCAGGGTCGGTCCCAATGGCACTGCTAACAAAGATGCCTGTACATCTTTGCTTATTTTCGAAGCAACCCAAAGCAAAGACACCAAGAGGGGTCTCTGCCTCCCTGCCTCATCCTCATCCTCTCTCTCTCCCAGCTGGTATATAATATCTCTTGTGTTAGCTTTCTACATCGGACTGGGAGATTTATTTGATAGCGATGAGTTGATGAAATTTTGGTTTCACTAACCACTACTGTAGGGTTTTAGGATCTTCCTTTCGATCTAGTATGCTTCTAGCTAGTTGACTGCTGTCAGATGTTGCAGCATCGAAGAATTTGTTTCACAGGCTAGCTACTCCCACTACGCAGACAACATCTTTAGGGGCAGTTGGCCGGCCTCTGTAGGGACGGGCTCGCCAACCGCCGGCTCTTATAAATGTCGCCTCTGCTAAAAATCGATTTGTAGGAGTGGTCTACGAATCATTTTCTGGAAACCGTAAAAAAATACCAAAAAAATAGCAAAACATTTTTTTTAATCTGGAAAGGGACCCACCAGCGCCTGCCCGTATCTGTTGAAGTCGCAGCATTTTTCGCGGCCTGCAGGAATCGAACCCACGACCTCTCACTCGCGCAAAACTTCCCTTACCACTGCCCTACACCATCACATGTATCTGTATGTCCTTTTGGTTCCCCAAATATTATACCAAATCGAGTGTAAATTACTTGTTTGAGGTCCTAAACGAATTTAAATTTAAAAGTTGTCAACTACAAAGTTTCATAAATTTTTAAGATCTACAAATTTCATATAGAAAGTTTCTCCATCCGAGGTCGTTTACAAAATTTGAATTTCAAATTTGATTCAAATCTGAAAACATCAAACGTAGTTTCACATAACAAGATGACTTCAAATAAAAAAGTTGCCAACTACAAAGTATCATAACTTTTCGAGCTCTACAATTTTCATATAGGAAGTTTCTCCATCCGTGATCGTTTGAAAAATTCGAATTTTAAATTTTTGACATTCAAACGTACTTTCGCATGACAAGATAACTTCAAATTTAAAAGTTGCCAACTACAAAATTTCATAACGTTTCGAGCTCTACAACTTTCATTTTGGTCATTTCTCCATCCAAGGTCGTTTTAAAAATTTGAATTTTCAATTTTTGACATTCAAATGTAGTTTTGCATGACAAAATTATTACAAATCAAAAAGTTGCCAACATCAAAGTTTTATAACTTTTTGAGATCTACAACTTTCATTTTGGTCATTTCTCCATCCGAAATCGTTTTAAAAATTCTAATTTTAGTACTTCATTTTAAATATCTGACACCGATTGTAAGGGCAGCTCAATATCCAACCGTCCTTAGAAATCGATTTATAGGCGCGGCTGAATATTGAGTCGCCCCTATAAATAAATAGACGTCTATTTGTAGGGGCGGCTTAATATCCAGCCGCCCCTACAAATTGATTTGTAAAGGCGGCTGGATATTGAGCCACCCTTACAAATCGATTTCTATTTATAGATGCGGCTCAATATCCAGCCGCCCCTACAGAAAAAAAAGGGACTGGCTCGTACAAATCGTTTTTCATATAGTGTCCTGCAACTACTCTCAGTAGGCTCGATCCGCCCGAGATAGCTGCCCGCCATGGTCACCGTCATATCTGACATGATCTCGCGCCGCTGATATCTTGCACCAAGTGCTTGTTTAGTTCCCAAAATTTTACAAAATTTTTCAAGATTCTCCGTCACATTGAATCTTTAGACACATGCATGGAGCATTAAATATAAATAAAAAATAAAACTAATTACATAGTTTAGACGAAATTCACGAGACGAATCTTTTAAGTCTAATTAGACTATGATTGGACACTAACTGCCAAATAACAACGAAAGTACTACAATACCATTTAAAAAAAAATCGCCAACTAAACAAAGCCCATAGTTTTCGAAGAAACGCCGGTGAGCTCAACTCCAACCCAGCTGCGACTTGCTCAGTCTTCCAAATCTCAACCAGCTTTATTTTCCTTTTTTTTTGCGAAAAAAACCAGCTTTATTTTCTAGCCACTCGACCACCATCGTTTTCTACAGGACAATTCAAGAGAGATCGCGATGTGGGATTCTTGGTGAGCGCATCCACGCGTTTCAATCCTAAACACAAGCTACTGGAGTGACCTGGTATTTTCAGCTGAAGCTTTGGCAGAGCCATGGCAGCAGCTGCCGTGGTGAGCGTCTCCATGGGTGTGATGAAGCCCGTCCTGTCCAAGCTCGCCACCCTCATGGGCGACGAGTACAAGAAGATCAAGGGGCTGCGGAAGGAGGTGATCTTCCTTCAGCGTGAACTCGGGGACATGGATGCTCTCCTTGAGAATATGGACAGCGTTGATGAACTCAACCCGCAGGCCAAGAAATGGAGGAGAGATATAATCGAGATGTCCTACAACATAGAAGACCGTATTGATGACTTCATGCACAGTGTGGTGAAATTGACAACAAGATGGGGATCCTTCGAAAAGCCTGTCGCTATGTCAAAACTTTCAAGGATCGTCGCTGACTAGCAAATGACTTCCAAGAGATCAAGACCCTAGTGATCGAAGCAAGCGACCGTCGAAAGAGGTACATGCTTGATCAGTGCATATCAATTACTACCCCTGTAGTGGTTGATCCTCGCATGTCAGCACTCTACAAGGAATCAGCAAGCCTTGTGGGAATTGATGCCCAAAAGGACAAGCTTGTCAGCTGGGCAATGGATGAAGTCAAACAATTGAAGTTTATGGCAATAGTCGGATTTGAGGTATAGGGAAGACCACTCTTGCCAATGAGTTGTATCGTGAGCTTGGTAGCAAGTTTGAATGCAAGGCATTTGTATCTGTCTCTCAAAAGCCACAATTGATAGGGATATTCAATAGCTTGCTATCGCAACTTGGGCAACAAACATACTCCCATGCTTGCCAGTTGCAAGACCCTATCAATGCTCTCAGAAGACATCTACAGGATAAGAGGTAATCAAAATCAATGTATTTTAAATTAATTCATGAGAATTGATGTCTTGAAAGTAGTTTATAATCTTCTTAATTTATTGGTAAATTCATTTACACCATTTAGTTTTATATGTGAAGATAGTTTGCTCCCTTGTCAAGGCTAAAAATAAAAATGAACATATTGTATCTAAAACAATCAGACATTAGTGTGGACATTTTTTCAATGGAATCTTTTTTATTGATTCATAATTGCACCATTGTATTTTTCCTTATTTTAATGTTGAACAGCAACTGCAAAGGTTGCTAGGAAAATAATGCTACCAAACTATACCATCAATTGTTCCTTTCATAATTTAACCTTAGTTTTTCAATTTAATAATATAAAAAGAAATGAGATTTTGGTATTAATTGTTGGGTTTATTCCCAAACCAAAACCAAAGTTGGCACTTTTTCTTGAAAGAACCAATGTTGGTACTTCGGGGAAGTAAAAGGTGGAAGCATGCTCCATTAACACACGATAGCCTTAATTTGATAAATGTTTGTTACACTTTCTTGAACTTTGTACGTATTTGCTTGTAGTATCACACCACTGTTTGACATGTAGTGTAAGCATGTATGCAAAGAATACAACCATCTAGTATTGCAGTTGCATGTATATATATATATATATGGTTGGTTCTTCGAATAAAGCAAAGTGCTTATTACTTATATATATATACTAAGTTCAACATATGCACTTTTGTAGGTACTTCATTGTGGTTGATGATTTGTGGGACATGCAAGCGTGGGATGCCATTCAATGTGCTTTCCCACAAATTAATAATTCTAGCAGGGTTATAATAACTACTCGAATTGAGAATGTGGCTAGATCATGTTGCCACAACCAAGGATGCATCCATAACATGAAGCATCTAAGTGACCAAGACTCAAGGAAGTTATTCTTTGGAAGAATATTTGGATCTGAAGATGCTTGCCCTACCCATCTCAAAAAAGCTTCATGTGAAATTTTGAAGAAGTGCGATGGTCTACCACTTGCAATCATTGCGATGGCTAGTATGTTAGCTTGCGAACCAAGAATATTGGAAGGCCAATGGGTGCACATCAAGAATTCACTAGACACTAATAAGGCAGCAACAAAATCCAAATATGAAGACATGATGTATATCTTAGATCTCAGCTACAAGAATCTCCCACGTCATCTTAAGGCATGCTTTCTTTATCTTGGTTCTTACCCAGAGGATCATCCAATTAATAGAGTTGACCTAGTGAGGCGATGGGTAGCAGAAGGTTTTGTTAGCAACTCTACCGGGCAAGATGTATGGGATGTTGCTGAGAGTTATTTCAATGAGTTAGTTAATAGGAGCATGCTTCAACCTACATATAATAAGTATACTACTGAGGTATTATACTGCAGAGTACATGATATGCTACTTGATTTGATTGTGAGGAGATGTAAGGAAGGTAATTTTCTGCATTTGATAAATGAACCAGAAGCAGTGGCAAATGTGCAAGATGAGGTAATTCGCCGACTCACTATTGTCGGATTGATGACAGATATAGAGGATGATATCAAAGTGCCTATAACCCTTGGCCAGAACATATCACAAATCCGTTCCCTTGCCATACTTGGAAAATCCAACTGGACACCTCTACTGTTTGAGTTTAAGTTTCTACGAGTATTATTCCTTGACAGTTACAATTCTAAGATTAACATTAACATGAATTGTATCAACCAGTTATCACAACTGAGGTATTTAAATGTTAGAGGAGATGTCATGTTGCCTTGTCAAATACGAGGGCTGCGGCATTTGGAGACTTTGGATTTATCCATTATGGCAAGCAACATTGCATTAGAGATTGCTGATATGCCACGCTTGAGCCATCTAGTTATGTCGTGCTCTATGAGGTTACCTGATGGTAATATTGGTAAGTTGAATTTGCTGCACACTTTGCATACCTTGTATCTTCAAACAAACCCACTGGAAAGTGTTATAGGCATGGGGCAGCTTACCTGTTTGTCAGATTTGAGGTTTACTTTCCCCAAGGGGTGTGCACCGTTGGAAAAGGTAGCATGCATGGAAGCTCTAAGTACTTCACTTGAGAAACTCAGCAACCTCAGAAAACTACACATGTCCATCTCCTATGGTGCAGTTGCTTGGCCTGCTGACTCGTTGTGCTCGGTTTCCCCTACTTTCCACAACCTTGAGGAGGTACACATGAGTGAATGCACTTTCTCTAGACTTCCTAGGTGGATTGACCGTCTCCAAAGCCTCTGTATGTTGAGCCTTGGGGGTGAAGCAAATGGCCCAAGAAGATTTTGCCATCATTGGGACAGGGGCACTGTCCCTACTCAAACTTGACCTACGGATAACAGGCGTCCTGACAGAAAAGATCATGATAGGAGGTTCCATGGGATTTGCATCTGTAAAACTTTTTGGGTTCAACTGTGACTATTTCATACCTGTCGTTTGAGGCAGGAGCCATGCACTACTGGAGACGGCCTCTTTGCCGAGGGCCTCGTTTGAGGCAGGAGCCATGCACTACTGGAGACGGCCTCTTTGCCGAGGGCCTGAGGCCCTCGGCAAAGGCCCATTAACCCTCGGCAAAGGCTTTACTGAGGGCGGCCCTCGGCAAAGAGCTCTCGGGGAATTTTGAGTCGGCGAAGAGGGTCTTTAGGCCAGGCCGCTGGCCGATTTAGGGTTGGGCCCTTTGCCGAGGGCCCAAATCCAATGCCCTCGGCAAAGATTTTTTTTTAAAAAAAATTTCTGTGCCGAGGTCCATTGACCAGGCCCTCGGCAAATATTTTTTTTGGTTTTTTGAACCCAGTTTTTTTGTGGTGCTATAATATATTATTGAAAACTCAATTTTAAAATTTGGGCAATTTTGACTTTTTTTATATATTTCCCTAATTTATTTCTTTTCGTTGATTTTTTTCGAATATTTCAAATTTGAACTGCAGTTGGATGGAATAATGTAATTTAGTGATTCGAAAAATGTTATTCATGGTATTTGGTGTATGTTGAGTCCCTATCCACGAACTCGCATCAAATTTCGAGCATCTTCTTCACTTAACATGACGAGGAACTTGTCGGAAAAGTGTTTTTAAATTATATAGAATCCATACGAAGTCCGAAAATCACAAAACTTGTCGAGGTGTCATGTTATCGCATGTGTAGGATGTGGTAAAAAATTGAGAAGGTTTCGAGCAAGTTGTGACATCGGATGCCTAAAACTCACACATCTCCACATGTCTTTGAATCACTAAATTGCATTATTCCATCCACCTGCAGTTCAAATTTAAAATATTTGAAAAAAAAATCAATGAAAAGAAATAAATTAGGGAAATATATCAAAAAAGTCAAAATTGGCCCAAATTTTAAAATTGAGTTTTAAATAATGTATTATAGCACCACAAAAAAACTGAGTTCAAAAAACAAAAAAAAAAATTGCCAAGGGGCTAGCCTGGCCCTCGGCAAAGGGGATCTTTGCCGAGGGCTTGGCCAATGGCCCTCGGCAAAGAAAATTAAAAAAAAAATCTTTGCCGAGTGCCTGACGGCGGGCACTCGGCAAAGACTGACGCCAGTGACCGCGTGACCCATCCGGCCATATTTGCCGAGGGCCAATTTGCCGAAGTCTAGACCCTCGGCAAAGATTTATTTTGCCAAGGGCCGTTTTTTTCCGAGGGCCTATCTTTACCGAGGGCTCCTGGAGCTGGCCTTCGGCAAATAGAGCCTTTGCCGAGTGTCCGAGATCTAGCCCTCGGCAAACCCAAGAGTCATCGGCAAAGGATGGGTTTCCAGTAGTGATGCCTGAGCTTGAGAAGCTGGAGTTAGTATTCGATGCAAATAAATGGGACAAGGCAGCACCTGGTGGGCTCCAGCATCTCCAGAGCCTTAGGGAAATCGAGGCAGTGAGGTCAGCCTATTTTAGCAGAGATAAACGGAGGACAAGTGCAATCAAAATTTATATGGACGCGAATGATAAGGCTAAGGCGAAGCAGATCATGGGTGTGTTCCAAAAAGCTGCCGATGGTCACCCCACATGCCCAACGTTCATCTACAGAGCTAAAGTGCGGTTTAGGTAAAGTTTTTCAAACCATGCTTTGGGCGATGGATGTGTCCAAATATACTGGCAGTTATATATATTTTGTTGAGGGTCTCATATTTCTGGGCACTGATACTACTATACGTACTTGCTCATTGAATCATAAATGCGTAATGCATGCAGGCCTGTAGAGAAGGAGTGTTTGAACGTGGTGGATTAAGGTGCCAACAAGCGACGAGGGCGAGGTCGAGTCGAGGTCCCCATGACTCACTCGATCATCCAGTCGCCGTATATCTCAGCTTAATTATTGGATTTGATTTCAGTCATCAATCATATATAATTTTCCTTCCTCCTTGTACTTACTAGCTTGGAGATATCATGTATGCGCAGGCAACCTGCTGGCGTGCTGATAGGGTGGCTGGCATATTACATTAATTGCAAAAGACATGTTTGAATGCCAAATCTTCTATATATATAATAAGAACTGTAGACCAACAGTGGCACATCGCGATTACTGTAGACCAACAGTGTCGGACCCACGACGAACAGTACCCGACCCTATAAGGAATAGTACCACCCTTCTTTTTTTTCTTCTTCTTCTTCCTTCCCACGCGCACTGTTGCCCGCGCGAAGCGCGGGTTAGCTGCTAGTTTCTTATAAATATGAGTATGACACATGGGACCTAGTTGTTTTTGACATAAATTCGTTCCCTCAAGGTGCCAAAGAATGGAAATCTTTCCAATTCGAATGGAGGTGAATATGGTATAGGCACTCCCCAAAACTTTGCAAGCAAAATTAACCTTTTTTTTGGGGGGGGTGTTTTTTTTACAGTCATTTTTTTTGGACGGTCAGGGGGGATATCTCGGGTTACTCATGCCCACAATGCAGTGAATGATTGTATTGATGGATGTGTTCTCTGGTGAACAAGTAGATGATACATGCAAGTTATCAATGTCAGCAAGCCACAGCATTCACTAATTTATATTTATTTGTCCACGTAATTATACCTCACCATTCACTATAATTCATTCGCGATGCCTGCGGCAACACAAGGGTAGATTTTGTTCCTCATGCCTGTGGCAAGCCACATCATTCACGATGCCTCCAAACTTTTCGGGTGGCGAGCGATTGTGTCAATGCATTTGCAAGCATCCATTGTGAGGCTTCCAGAAGATACGGGCCAATCGTCCTCGAAATCAAGACCTAGACTTGGAGCTTCACAAGGGTAGAGTTGTTCACGAAGGTAGACGCTCTAATGTTGATGCTTATTGTATAGCTAGGAGTTATATAAACTTTTGGTAGGAATACATGTTTGGTTTGTTGCTCTTCCTGATGGAAGTTTGTACTAGTTATCCTGATGAATAAAGAAGGGTGACACTTTGCTAAAAAAAACCATAGGAAAGATATTATACCAAAAGAGTACTATTGTTTGCGAGAAACTTGTAATAAGGTGGCAGCCACTAGGAGCACTATTGTTTGGGAGGAAGAAAAACATGGCGTGAGCTGCTATCATCGAGTATTCCAGTGTAGCCAGCGACTTGCAGTCAACACCGGTCACTTTCAGAGAAGAAACTTGTGGCATCATAGCAGCGTCGACCGCTGACCTGGTCCAAAAGACTGTATTTCGTATCTGTCATTTGAGGCAGGAGCCATCACTACAGCAGCCACACGCTTTAACGAGTGTCCCATGCACTCGGCAAAGGCACCCATGCACTCGGCAAATCCTTTGCCGAGTGCAACACTCGGTAAAGAGGCTCCGTCGAACATTTTCACGGTAAAGCATGCTTTGCCGAGTGCTAAATCTCGGGCACTCGGCAAAGGCTTTGCCGAGTGTCAAGCTGGCACTCGGCAAAGGATTGACGGCCGTTGGCCGAAGGCTCACGCCATCTTAATTTTTTTTTAATTTCTTTGCCGAGTGCAACACTCGGCAAAGAATTTTCTTTTTTTAAAATTCTTTGCCGAGTGCCATAGCGCCGAGGCACTCGGCAAAGCCTGTTTTTATTTTTTTTAAATTTTCTTTGTCGAGTGCCACTGCCAAAGCACTCGGCAAATCATTTTTTATTTTTTTAAAAAAATTTCTTTGCCGAGTGCAATGGCCATTGCACTCGGCAAATCTGGGAAATTGTTGCTGCTATTTTCCCAGCTTTGCCGAGTGCAATGGTCATTGCACTCGACAAAGCCACATCAATTTTTTTTGTTTTTTGCTTTTCCATGTAAACAACAGTGCATATATATATATTAGAAACCATAATTCAACACAATATATCAGAAACCACATATATATCACAAACGACCAATTATGTCCGAAATCCATAATATATTATAAACCACAAGTTCACAAGTTCAATACATAAAGGCATGCCTACATAAAACCGACTCCGGAAGCGGCTCACGGCGAATGTGAGGGTTGCGACGCCCCAACTTGCGATGCCGGCGACCCTCCAAGATGGTTCAACACCGCCCCCGATTGATGCTGCACAAAAGAGAAGAGATTGCACGTGAGTGACAAGATAAAAATGTAAGCAATTTAAAGAAAAGTTGAAAATTTCGGCAGCACCTCCCCTGCACAGGGAGGTTTCCAAAACCTGCAAGAAAAACGTCGGCACGAAGGCCGACAACCACATTTCCGGCACGAAGACCGACACATCAATAAACCCGGCACGAAGGCCCACGCATCAACAAATCCGGCACGAAGGCCATCACTAGGTTTGACACTAAGCATGAGCATAGAAAGTAAAGCATCCGAACTCATACTCACTGGAGTAGAATCTAGACGATGTGGTGGTGGTGGTGGTGGTGCAAGCAGGTTGGCTGGGATCTCCCAACCTTGTTGTAGCCCAAGTTGTTGCACGAACTGGAGCAAACCTGCTTGCTAGGCCTCCAAAGCTTGTAGCCTTTGACGCTCGGCCTCCCGCTCAGCCAGCTGGGCCTCCTGCTGGGACCGAAGTTGCTGCAGCTCGGACTACAACATTTGACACCAATGTTTCAATAATGCATAGCTAAGGAATGTAAATGACAAAGAACGACGAATGAAACTGGAATACTTACCTGGAGTGCCGCCACCGATGACGGCCGTTGCCTTATGGGCACGCTAGAGCTCGTGCTCGCTGCTCGGAGGCAGTGGAGAGGAGGAGTAGAGCCCGTGTCGAGGATGCCGTCGCCAATCCAGAAACGCCCATGCTTCTTGCCTTCCCCCACCCTCATCACGAGCTCAGGATCAAGGCGCTCCTCGGTCCTCGGATCGTAGTCGGGCCCGTGGACTGACCTTGCCACCTCCGTGTAAGAAGTGAGGTGGGTGTGGACGCTGGAGTTGGTG